ACATGTTAAAGTGATGGGTCCAACGAGCTTTCCTTTATTATAGGTTGCCTCAAATACTCAAATCCATATTGCTTTGGGAGTTCCTCTTCAGCTTGGTTTGTTTTGATCAAGAGTCCTAACATTAGACTTTGCACAACCAATCAAATTAGAAATTTATATCTACGTGGACTCTTGTTGGGTTTTAAGACATGTGGACTTCTATTCCTATTAGAACTCTTATTCCTTAGACAACAAGGAGCTAGGATCTTCAAGACTATATAAGAACAGTCTTTCAAGCCAATTTGAAGCATCAATCTTCAGAGCATCAATCAAGAAGAGAGAGTTATTTTGTGAAGCTTATTTGATATTCTTTTCTTTTGTTCTTTTAGTTGAGAGTTGTATTAGGCTTTTGGGGTGTTATTTAGGATCGAGTGATTGAGAGATTGAGAGATTCCACTTTGTATTCCTCACAATTAGTAAAGCTTTTCTCCTCCTTCGCCCGTGGACGTAGGATACAAGCCGAACCTAGTATATCTTTGTGTTCGTCTATTCTTGATATTTTGCGTGCTCTCATGTGATTGATATTAGCTTATCCTGGGGAATTTGTCATAACATCCTATAAATAAACAGTAGAAATACCACAAGACTAAAACCTGTACATAGACAAGCAGTAAGTAAAATTGCGCACTTTATAGGTGGATTAGTTAATTAATATTGACAATACATAAGTCATCATGTCCTGATTTACATCTACAGAGCTTGTGAACTGATTTATTTTCACTTCCTAGTGTCAGTTACTATCAGAAATATCACCCAATCCGAAAACTCAACTAGAAGTGAATTCTTTTGAAAACCCAAGAAATAACCAGTGATAAGAAAGCTATAAATGAATAATGGCGGTTAATGCCAATCCTGTTTGATCGAATGAAAACCTTAGGCCTCGCTAATGTATTTTAAAGGTTGAATATTACTTACATTAACCAGGCTATGAATGGAGGAACTACAATTGGATGTCCTGTATATGCGTGAATGTATATGTGTGTGCATGTTTTATGTGTGTGTGGGTGGGTTGGGTGCACGTTTGTGTATAATTATCATGAGTAAAACTGGTGAACTACCTAACATTTTCCTCCACGAAAATTAAAATAGAGCTGTAATTGATAGTACTCTCTCAAAAATCTTATCGAAACTTTTATCATGCTAGTCCGGCAATAAACAAACAAGCACAACACGGGAAAACGACTGTATAACAATATGGGTTTTAGCATTTATATACCTGAGACTGCCAGAACCTCACCAACATCCATATACGAAAAACTCAACCCTCCAAGTTTTCTATCGCTTTCAGCCCATAGGGAGAATATCTGAAAAAAGTTCAACATGAAATTTGAATAACAGATCAACAAAAGAACACAAGAACGAGTAAAATATTAAATGATGAAAATGAACTCGTCATGGATAGAATTGTCTGCATGTTTATTATAATATAGGCTTAAAAGAAACATAGCTTCAAAGTGATCCTAGTATAAGTGAGACTGTTACTCACTGGAAGCCAAAAACAGACACTAAGCACACCAGCGACAAACAGCGATATAATGAAATACGGCAAGAAGTAAGAAAACCTGCAAACATTTGAATGTTTGGCAAGAATGAGAGCAATAATGAAGCAACCAAGATTCAAGTAAGTACCTTCTAGAAATGATTCTTCAGAAACCATTCCTGGAAACTTCTTTGCAGGCTGACAAAACATATAGTAACTAAGAAGAATAGATTTGTAATGCACAAAATATTTCAACAATATTTAAGAACTAAACAACCGAGTAGATGTTTATATGGATTTTAACACTAATGTGGAGAGGATGTTGAAGCTAAAAAGCTGGAAAAGGATTGAGTGAAGTCCGAGTAGATCACAATCATGTACGCATTTGAAACACGTCAGTGTAAGTTGTTTTATATTGAAAACTGCATTATCCGTGCAAGGAAGCCTCCGAGAGCTGGACCAATAATGAGACCTGAGCCCCATACTGTACTAACCTGAACTAAGACGCCAATTGATCTGTTAGAACCCCTCGAAAGAATCTCTTTTCTTTTGAGGATATAGAAGCTAACATTTTAAATGTTTTAGATTACACGATATTAATTCCTCATCAATACTACCAAGCAAAGTAAACACTAAAGGTTCATACCAAGGACAGTCCGAAGGATTCATGCTCAGGTCGACAAACTTATATGTGCCTGAAAAGAAAGCCAAATTGCAAAAAACTTGAATAAGGAGTGCGCCAATTTCATCGATGTAGAAACACAGTGAATATTTTATCGTGCCAAGTAAATCGCTCATGGCTCCAAGAAAAAATCTTGTAACAATTGCCATCCAAAAATTTACACTCAATCCAAAGAGGGTGTTAAATATAACCCTGGAACACAAACAAGACAAAATTAAAATACACAAGAAAACCTAAGGAAAATGAACATTAATTCTTTAGTAAATAAGTAAAGTACGATGAAATGAGGCCATTAAGTATGACAGGTTTCCTTCCCCATCTATCAGCTACCATTCCCCAAACAAGAGAAGTCAAAGCTCTCCCAAGCATGTATGAAGAACCTTTAATATGGATGTTAGTATGAACTTGGTAAAGTCTGAATTGAACAGTA